AAAATTGCTCAAGGGACTTTGCGAGGCACACCAAGGTGTAATTAAAAAGTCACATACTTTATTATAACTGTTTAAAAATCACATGGTAAAATTGTTCCCAAAAACTTAATATGCATAAATCAAGTTCATAACATGAATACAAGTAAAAGTGCAAGATCTACCTACATGAAACATAAATTACATGGCACAGGCTCTCTGCGCAACATCTCAACGTGTTTCGTGAAGCAGCGTTCACTTCTTCAGGAGATGACAAGGCTTGTTGATATTATATGGAGTAATATATGAGGAAAATCCAGGTAGTTATGAATATGAAAAAAAACACATCATCAGAGTCATAAGACTTCCTGCCAATTCAATCAATATATCATATCTTTAGAAAAGCATGCACAAGGGCTGAAAAACTGCCCATGGAAGCAAATGGCGACTGGACGGCAACCCACCAGCACAAACAGTCCTAGCCAGGAGCTGTGATGGGAAACGGATTGACCCACTGAGGGAATACAGTGGGAAGCACTGATGGAAACTGTCAGTAGAAAACCACTATAAACAGAAATACCAAAAAAGAAAAAAAACACGAAGAACAAGATAAAAGTTATATAGAACCAAGGATTATAAAGTAATAAAACAAAAAAGTAGTCAGTCAATAAAAGTGCAGAAAGTGCCAATAGGCCCAGTTCTGGATAGTCTGGGACCCAATAGAGTTTATATAATAAAATAATTAAAGAATAATAGTGAGAATGAAGAACCAGAAAGGAAAAATTAAATTATTAACAACAGAAACTAGGGTCCAAAAAACCTGACCTTTTTTTTTCTTTTTTCTGCGACTCCTGCACACTGTGCACTTCAACATGCACTGACTCATTTTATGTGACCTACCACTTTGTAGATGAGTTACTGTTGTTCCCAGTTGATTCCACTTTGTTATAATACCACTAACAGTTGACTGTAGAATATTTGTAGCAAGGAAATTTCACAGATGGACATATTGCACAGGTGGCAACCTATCACAGTACCACGCTTGAATTCACTGAACTCCTGAGAGCGACCCATTCTTTCACAAATGTTTGTAGAAACAGTCTGCATGCCTAGGTGCTAGAGTTTATACACCTGTGGCCATGGAGGTGATTGGAACACCTGAATCCAATGATTTGGAGGGGTGTCCCAATACTTTTGGCAATTTAGTATATATTGATTGAACAATTTTAACATGTGTTATTTCAACAATTATAACAAAGAATGTGACTTTTTAATTGCAATTTGGTGTACCTCGCAAAGTTCCTTGTGGAATTATTCTTTTTTTAATACTGAAGTAAAGGGGGACTGTGATGTAAATGGGAGGGACTGTGATGTGAAGGGTAGCTATGATGTGAAAGGGAGGCTGTGCTGTAAAGGGGGTGCTGTGAAATAAAGGGAGGCACTGCAATATAAAGGACACTGTGAGTAAAGGGAGAGCTGTGATGTAAATGAGAGGGCTGTGATGTGAAGGGAGAACTAGGACAAATATGTAAAGTGTTGGGTGCGGCTTTGATGTGAAGGATCTGAGGCAGAGTTCAAACATTTGATTTGGATCTCTGTTGGTAGAAAATTTTACTGACCAGATCTGTGGAAATGTCAATTCAATACCATTGGTATAAAACACAACATTTTATATATGTAATATATTTATAAATAAGGCCTCCTGATATGTTCTGTAATTAAAAAAAATTACTTATTTGTAGATGAATGTTTGGGAAGAATACTACAGAAGTTACAAAAGTTCTTTTTCTGAAAGTTATGCACAACCTTGCTATATCAAGCAAACATTTTTGGGCAGTTTTGTGTTTGCTAGAAAAGCGCATCTAACAACATTATTTTCCTCTAACAACCTATTACCATTCTTTCAATTTCTTGCCTGAATAACCCATTCAGTATGTGCAGATGGTGGATACAATAACAGTGGTTATTTTTTAGAAAAATGGTAATTAGCGGTCACTTATGATTGTATCTGAAAATGGTGGACACTTTCTACTGAGTAGGTACAAAAATGAAAGCCACATACTGCTTTAAGTGATTGCTCAGAGCCAGTGTCTTGATAGAAGATAGCTGTTGCCATAGAAACTCATCTGGTAGTATCAAAAAGAATCTAGCAATAATGATTTTCTCTGAAAAAGTACTTCTAGCCCAGATAGAAGCATAGATGTTGCTAGCAGGTGAATAAAGGTTTTCACATGGTTCCTCTATCCTATAATTTAGTAGACGGTTGTGAATATTTTGGTCCTCATGTGCTTCTTCTTTGAGACTTGGGAAATCTTTTGTACACTAAAAGTACTTTGAAGAGTGAAAGCAGATGAACCCTTTCTACTGAAAAAAAGAAATCCCCACTGAAACTCAGAGGCTCAGGGAAGCATCAACTGATAACTAACCTGGATTTTTTTTACTGACAAGGATGAGGCTTGGGTTCAACGCTACGTGGGTCTGAGACAAATCCTCTGGGTTTGATATTTGAGGTCCTGGTGAATTTATGTGCAGATTCACCATGGGGATTTTTTTAAACTAAAATTAACTATATGACCTTTGAACTATGACCAGCAAGAGCCAATGAGGGGGCTTTTGGTTAAGAAAGCCCCCTCACTATAAAAAGGTGGGTACAGAGCAGTTATTTTTTGTATGCATAAAATTTTCACTGTGTGGATATGATGAACAAGAGAGCTAATTTTCCAAGGCTGAGAGCTGCTCTCCAAGACTTAGACTGGGAGGGAATATTGGCATCGATGAACACAACACAGAAATGGGAGTTCTTTAAAAAGACTGTATGTGAACACACTGCAAAATATATTCCCATGAGCAACACGTTTAAAAGGATAAAAATCAAACCTATGTGTGTAAGGGATTTCCGGCAAGAAGAATCGCGATCGGGAACGTGCATGCGCATAGGAATTCCCGCAGAAGAATTGCCGGTTGTGCACATGCGCGCAGGAAAGCGCGATCATGCACGCGCACGTGCACACGCACGGCGAAGATTGGCACCAGACGGCCCATTTAAGGAGAGCCTCTGCTCAGGTTCAGTGCTGACTGGTCTTCAGGCCCCCCCCTGTGTCTTGCTTGTTCCTGTACGATTCCTCCGTTACCAACCCGGCTTGTTCCTGACCCGACTTCGATTACTCTCCTGCTACTGGTTCCTGACTTCGGCTCTGCTCCTGACTTTGGCTTTTCCTTCTTATTCTGTACCGTGCTGCCTGACTGTTGATGAACCTGGCTATCCTATGACTCTGCTCCAGTCTCTTGTCCTTGCTACCTACCTTGCTCTGCTGCACATCTGGCAATACACAGAACCTACTCTGTCTGTTATTACGGTGCCTAAATCAGAGGATCATCTGCCTTCCAAGGTCATCATCTGCAAGAGCTGCAAACAACAACCACTGGCGCTCTTGTCCCCCTGGTCCCTAGACTCCCTCTGTTCCAACCTCAGCGGGGTCAGGGCTAGTGACACAAGTGAGGCCGACCTCGTCAATTCAGTCTCCCATCAGGTACGTGACAGTGTGGCTTATGTCCAATAGCAAAAAAGCTATGGATAACAAGAAAAGAGCTTTTATGACATATAAAAATGAAGGAAAGCATTCATCATTTACACATTACAAAGAATATAACAGATAATGCAAAAATTGAAAACGAATGGCAGATTGCAAAAGATAGCAGGACAAACCCCCAAAAATACTTCAAATATATTACTAGTAAAAAGGTTCAGTCTGAGCATGTACGCCCTTTACAAAATAATCTAGAGTGAGTGATTGGGGACAAACAGAAGGCAAATTTATTAAATACCTTCTTCAGCTCTGTGTATACAAAGGAGCATGGGCTCTTGTGCATTATGGGCATGGTATTGACACAGCTCCAGATGATCCACATTGGCTCACAATTGATATGATCCAGAAATATTTAGAGAGAATAAAGGTGAATAAAGCACCTGGACTGGATGGCATACACATACGGGTCTTTGACTTGAGCTCTGTCATTTCAAAGCCATTGTTTCTAATTTTTAGGAACTCTTTAGTACCACTGGGTTGGCGTAAGGCTAATGTGGTGCCTATATTTAAAAAGGGGTCAAAATCTTTACCAAGTAATTATAGACCTGTTAGTTTAACTTCTATAGTTGGGAAGATACTGGAGAGTTTAATAAAATACCACATAGACGTGTTCTTGCTGGAAAAAAATATTTTAAGCAACAGACAGCATGGATTCATGAAAGACAGAAGTTGTCAAACAAATCTGATTTCTTTTTATGAGGTGAGCAAAACTTTGGACAGAGGAGTGGCGGTGGATGTGGTATACTTGGATTTTGTAAAAGCATTTGACACAGTCCTTACAGGATGTATCCAATTTATAAGAAGACCTCAATGCACTGTTTAATTGGGCAACTATGTGGCAAAAGAGGTTTAATGTTGATAAGTGTAAGGTTATGCACTTGGGGGCTAAGAATATGAATGCATCATACATACTAGGGGGGGGTACAACTGAGGGAATTAATGGTGGAGAAGGATCTGGGAGTTTTGGTAGATCACAAGCTTAATGCATGCAATGCCAAGCTGCAGTTTCTGAATCAAGCAAAATCCTCTCTTGTATTAAAAGAGGTATAGATTCCAGAGAGAGAGATATCCTTTTACCCCTGTACAAATAATTAGTAAGACCTCATCCACGATATGCAGTTAAATTTTGGGCACCAATTCACAATAAGAACATTGGGGAACTGAAGAAAGTACAGAGAAGGCCAACCACACTGATAGGAGGCATGGAGGAGCACAGCTATGAGGAAAGATTAGAGGAACTGAATTTATTCTCTCTTGGGAAGAGGAGATTAACCACCTCCTGCCTGCCATATAGTAATATGACGGATGCAAGGTGGTTATCTCGTTCTGGGAGGACGTCATATGATGTCCTCCCATTCTAACCGTGCATGTGCGGCTCCCGGAGCACGCAGCACGGCGATCGGTGGTGTGCTGTGTCCCTAGGACACAGCGGATCACCAATCCACGGAAAGAGCTGAAGATGTCGGCTTGGTCATGTGATCAGCTGTGTCCAATCACAGCTGATCACATGTAAACAGGTGATCGTGAGCAGAGGAGAGCCTGTAATCGGCATTCCTCGGAGGGGACATGTACACAGATCATCAGAGCACTGATGATCTGTGTAGCCCCATCAGTGCCACATTTCAGTGCCCATCAGTGCCACATATCAGTGCCCATCTGAGCTGCCTTTCAGTGTCTCCAATCAGTGCCAGTCAGTGCCACCTATCAATGCCAGTCAGTGCCACCTATCAGTGCTGCCAATCAGTGCCACCTATCAGTGCCAGTCAGTGCCACCTATCAGTGCCCATCGGTGCTGCCTATCAGTGCCACCTAACAGTGCCAGTCAGTGCCGCCTATCAGTGCCAGTCAGTGCCCCCTATCAGTGCCACCTATCAGTGCCATATATGAGTGCTGCCTTTCAGTGCCCATCAGTGATGCCTGTCAATTCCCATCAGTGTCACCTACCAGTGCCTCCTCATCAGTGCCCATCAGTGCCACCTATCAGTGTCCATCAGTGCAGCCTATCAGTGCCCATGACTGCAGCCTCATTAGCGCACATCAGTGAAGGAGAAAAATCACTTATTTACAAAATTGTATAACAAAAACTAAGAAAACACATTTTTTTTCAAAATTTTCAGTGGTTTTTGGTTTATTTAAGAAAAAATAAAAATCCCAGAGGTGATTAAATACCACCAAAATAAAGCTCTAGCTGTCACAAAAAAATTATAAAAATTTCATTTGGGTACAGTGTTGCATGACAGCGCAATTGTCATTCAAAGTGCAACAGTGCTGAAAGCTGGAAATTGGCCTGGGCAGGAAGGGGGTATAAGTGCACTGTAGGCTAGTGGTTAAGAGGATTAAGGGGGGATATGATCAACATGTATAAATACATCAGTGGTTCATATAGTGAACTCGGTGTAGAGTTATTCATCTTGAGGTCATTACAGAGGACAAGGGGGCACTCTTTATGTCTGGAGGAAAAGAAATTTAATCTCCAAACATGGAAAGGTTTCTTCACAGTAAAAGCTGTGAAAATGTGGAATAGACTCCCTCAAGATTTGGTTCTGGCCAGCTCAGTGGATTGCTTTTAAAAAGGCCTGGATTCTTTCTTGGATACACAGAATATACATGGTTACTAACATTTATAGATAAAGTTGACTCAGGGAATATCTGATTGCCTCTCTGGGGATTTTTTCCCTGCAGGAGCAAATTGGGTCGTACTTTGCTGGGTTTCTTGCCTTCCTCTGGATCAACTGTGAGTGTAGGATTATAACTTACTTTTTTTTTTAATGGTTGAACTGGATGGACTTTTGTTTTTTTTCATACAGACTAAATACTGTATGTAACTATGAACAATCAGGACAAGAATTGGTGTATTTTCTTCATGGTACCTATATTGTCTTTGCCACCTAGTGGCAATAATCTTTTATTTTCCATAAATACCTGGAAAAAAACATGTTGTGGCCACAAGGTGGTGCCAATATAAGAAACCCTGAGGGTGGTGGGGGGCATGGTTTTGGTGGCACCCAAGATGGACCCTCTTTAGAGAGGCTCTGACACCACAAGGGAGAGTTTAGCCGCACCGCAAAGCCTTTTGAACACTATCGACCATGGGTAAGATAGGAAAGGCTTCTCCACAGTCCCGATCACCCCATTCTCAGTTGGGCCAGCATTTACCACCTATATTCCAGTCCCAACAAGGCTGTGCATGTCCTGAAAGCTCTCCATCATCCCCGGCTGCAAGTGCACAGGTCTCAGCCACAGGTTCTGACACAGGAGAATCACTGGCCTCCATAACTGAAATTTTTCAGCAGATGCCACGGATGGCTGACCTACAAAACATTGCGGCCAACATTAAAACTACTCTAACCATCACTGAGCTTAGAGATGACCTCCAATCAGTCACTGCCAGACTTACAGAGGCCAAACATGCTGTAACACACCATGACACAGCAATAACTGACCTACAGACCACAGTGGCACACCACAACATCCAGCTGATTGAAATGCAATGCCACATGGAGGATTTAGACAGTCGTGGTTGGAGAAGGAACCTACGGGTAAGAGGCATACCAGAGTCTGTAGAGGCAAAACAGATACCCCAGGCCCTTCAGGCTTTATTTAATGAGCTGTTAGAGAAACCTCCCGACTCCCCTGTTACATTTTAATGGGCACATAGAGCCTTAAGGCCTAGAGGGAGAAATACAGATCCCCCTCGGGACATTGTCTGCTGTTTTAATGACTTTCATCTTAAGGAAGAAGTCATACATGCAGCCTGGGACCAAGAGGAGTTCACATTCCACAGTCTAAGCATTCCAGGACTTATCTCAAATTACTCTCTGCAACCGCAGAGTGCTGTGACCCCTGCTAGAGGTGCTTAGGGAAAGCAAAATACCATGCATTGCACAGGCCATATATCTTTATAGTTTATTGTTGACTTATTTTAAAGTAACAGTTTATATGGTTAATTGTTTTCACCCCATCATATTAAGCATTGTTGATATGTTTCTAGTTCATTGAATGTTATGGTTGATGTTTAACCCAAATAGGCAGGGTGGCTTTCATGCTCTCTTTCTCGTGGTGCATTTACAGTCATTTTAGACAATCAGTCTACACTTTATTTTGTGTATTGTGGTTCTCTACTGCTTTTCCAACCCCCACAATGTTGTAGGACTCACTTAGGGGGACTATTGTTCCTTAGGGCACCTGCCAATGTTGACCTTCTCTGCAAAAATAAAAAAATGTTTTTTTGAAGACAGTCTGGATCTTACCAAGGTTTTCGCAAAATAGCAGTTCTCCCCCACCCTTTTTTTTTACCTCTTTCCCCTCTTGCCGTGCAGGTGGGGACAGTCATTGGAGTAGCTCTCCCCTTCTCTTACTGTCATTGTAGGAACCTTGGGGAGAAGACTACTCTTCGCTATGTAAATAAAAGGGCATGTAAGTAGCTGTGCTTCACCAAGCTCCCACTAACCATCCTGTCCTTGATCCTGTACCAGTGAGATTTTTGCACGTTTCACTGCTCTTGTGCAGTAGTCGCTGTCCGAAGCACATCTGCATCCCTAGGGTGAGCCTTTCCCTGCCATGATAACCCAGAAAAACAGGGAAGAAATGGCTGGCAGAGACATCCATCATGGCGCTGGCATCCTCAGCCACAATGTGCGCCTAGAGGAGGAGGTGATAAGCTGAAGGAGGCCACTGGAAGGTCTGGTAAGCCAGGCCACCCTGCGGGGAAGGAGGGCTGCTGGGACATGCTTTATTATACCCAGAGGATTACAGGGTCATTGGACCTGGGCATTCAGGGGACTCCCACCATTTCCCCCCGGTGCGGCCTACTACACCATCGCAGCAGCAACGTTTGGGAGAGGAGGTGGACATGAGGGCTGAGCGGGGTGCTGAGAGGGACATTGATAATATTGAGCAGGAGCAACCCACTTTAGTGGATATCCTTAAGGCTGTGCGACACTGTACTGCATTGGTGCATTCTGTGAAGGAGCAAGTGGGGGGTCTGAGAGAAGAGGCTAACTTTCTCCAACATGATATTCAGAAGACTAGAGAAAGAACCATGGCTGTAGAAAGTCACATCAGTGATTTGGAAGATAAATTCCCCCCCGTTGCTCTCTGATACCTGCTCCACGGCACATTTGGCTAAGGCTAATAATGTCTGAATGGACGATTTTGAAAACCATCTGCGATACAACAATTGTATCAATTGTAGGCCTACCTGAACGTACTAAGGGCGGTAACCCCATGCAATTTATTAAAACCTGGTTACTTGAGCTTTTTGGCAAAGAAGCATTTTCTCCTCTTTTTGCAGTAGAAAGGGTGCACCGTACCCCTACTCGACCATTGCCGGCTGGACAACCACCCAGGCCTGTCCTGGCACGTCTACTCAATTACAAGGATATCAAATTGCATCTTGCCAGGGAACGTGCCAACATTCAATTTAATGGGGCCAAGATTTCCTTTTACCCTGACTTTTCTGCGGAGGTGCAATGCAAGTGGGTCAAATTTCTTGAGATTAAGGGAACCTTCAACTGAAATCCTGCCCGCCTGAAAATCATTACCAATAATCAATCACATTTTTTTGACTCTGCTACCTCAGCCTCAGATTGGGTGGACATGCATGAAGCTCAACTGCGTCGTCGCAATCCATATGATTAATCCCTGCTATTATAATCCTACTATTATGTGGGATCCCTGATATGCTTTGTTCCTATCTCACCGGGAAGTGACATTTATGGACTGCTGCAATTTTGAGCTCTGATCCTGTTTGCTGTTACAGTGTGTGCTCCTGGTACTCGTTGAGTGGCAGTTACCATTATCCGATGTCATCTACTCGCACTTGGGGGCCGGCTGCCTGTTATGCGAGCTATGGGTTCACTTATTGTTTTTGGATATGTTTTGTTAGGCACTGTTGTGCCTCAGTTTTGTTTGACCTTTCCAGTCTCTTTTCCAGTGCTCAGTGCACTATATGCCATTTTTCTTCTAAGAGTCATGCAATATTCCGTAAAGTGGAGTATGCCCTTTGCCTACTGTGGGGGAGCCAGGTGGAACTTGCTGTGGATTTTCCCCTTATCAATAATTACCCCTTCCCTGACCCATTTACTTTGCTATGGAGAGCATCTCGTTGATTTCATGGAACATTAGAGGCCTCAATGACCCCTTGAAGAAGATTATGATATCGACCATACTACACAAGCATCATCCTGTTATCTGTGGCCTACAGGAAACTCATCTCACTGTGGACACTTTGGATTTGGCGCAGTTTCCTTGGGCTGAGTGTATGTATCACTTCACCCACACCGCCTATTCCCGCGGGGTGTGTGTGTTGATACACAGAGCCATACCTTACCGGCGTGAGAAACCGATCCTGAGGGTAGATTGGTATTCTTGTTTTACATGATATATTCTGTTATCTGTGTGTTAGTGGTGATTTTTGTGCAACCACCCTTTTACACTGCTATTCTGAGGGAACTTGTAGAGTTTTTTGCTGGACAAGCCTAATGTACGGTTATTTGTATTGTATGATTTCAATGGGTACCTGGACCCTATTTTGGATAAGCATCCCCCTTCTGTCCCTGGCTCCTGGGGTCGGGGGACTGCCCTTAGTCATTTTGTGACTGAGGTGGGCTGGGTTGATCACTGGCGTATACGGTACCCGTCTGCCCATCAGTTCTCCTGTTTTTCCAAAACTCATGGTACCCTATCCCGAATAGATCTGTGTGTAGGTAACTCCTTAGCAGGTTCCTTTTTCAAGACAATTACCTATAGCCATGAAGTATGTCTGACCACTCCCCCTTGGTGATCCGGCTCCATATTGGTCCTGGGTCATCCCTCCCTCAAGCCTCATGGAAGCTAAATGCTTTTTGGTTGAAGTTGATTCCTTCTTATGAAGTGGTGATACAACAGATAGACCATTTTTTCCAATATAATGACCTTTCCTCTGACCCTTTACTTATTTGGAATGC